CCGTTACGGACATCCAGATTCGCAGTTCTTTCGTGTTGCGTTGGATGGTCACTACGACGCCCCAGCAACGGGGTTTGTACGGTTGACCACCTGGAAATTAGCAGCGGGTCTGCACCCCATAATCTATGCGTGGTACGGGAAGCACCTGCAGGAGAAAGGATGGATACCGGTGCCCCTATTGAAGTTCTTTGAAGAGCGCAAACTTTTRAAATACACAGCGCATGAAGCCATACTCTGCCATAGCGCCTTCACTAAATGGTTACCAGAGCACAACCCAACCGCCCGAATTGTCATAGGAAAGTTCACCCAGGGCGCTAACGAGGGAGAGAAACACATGCAAAGGCGCCTAATAACAGACGAAGGTGAGTTAAGTTTCCTCATAAAACGTGCCCATGACCAAGGAACGATGGTGTCTGTAGAGAAATGGGATTACCTCGTAGAAGATCGGCTGCACAAATGGAATGCTTTGCGTTACTACCAGGACCATCGACCGCAGTATTACCATCTGCGTGCCAGCATGTTAGCCTACGCGCACATTAACCTATTAGCGATGCTCCTGCGGTTTGACAAAGAAGATATCCCCCGCGTAGCCACGGATTCCTTATACGTGAAACCGCACGTGTTGGAAAAGATGAAGGAATTCTACACTGCCGATGAACTCGCAGAAAGTGGACAATGGCGCGTTGCCGACCCTATTTCCTACCAACGCTTCTCTTACCTCTACGGTACGGTAGGCAGCGGTAAGACGACGCGTGCGTTAGAACTCTTTCCTAAGATAAAGGTGCTAACGCCAACACATCGTTTGGAAAGAGAACTCTGCGAAATGGGCCACGACGCGCAAACGTACCACAGCTTCTTTCGCTGGAATGGCCAAAAGTGGGTACCAGAAGCCATCCACGACATACCTCCGGTGATGCTTTGGGATGAGATTTGCACCGTACCTTTGGAAATCCTGCAGGAGTTCGTAGAGTTCCTTCGCGGGAAATGTCAAGTAATATTCACCGGAGATCCCTGCCAGCCTCCTCCAATAGCCGGAGAGATGCCCCACGAATGGCTGAAAGATTTCGTAGACCATGCGGAGGAAATTAACACCGACTACCGCAGCAAGGATCAAATACGTAAGCTAAAAGCGGAATT